GCCTTTTTTTTTTTTTTTAAGAAAAGAATGTGCTTTCCAAGTATAAATTTTCCTCTTGAAAAAATCATGCCTAAATAGGGCTGCTGGTTATTTCCTGATGTCACAAAAAAGACAACAGAGACTTCACAGGTGCAGAATTATTTTCTTCCCCCCAAAAATTATGCATTTTCTTATAGATGTTGGGAATGCCTGGATCTCTTCACAATTTTAAAGATTTTCAATGTTTTCAAACTCTAGATACAAGAATAAACTGCTAATTGCTCTTCTACCTCAACATAAGTTACCTGACCTGTGAAAAAGACGTATATGTATACACATACACACACAGTTAGTTCAAACTATGACCATACAAACTAAACAAAACTTAGTGAAAAAGCTATACATATTCAGGTCAACTGTAGAGTTTGGGTGTTATGTATATGTATATATATTTAAGAGTCATCTTTAAATTTAGATATTGTATAACAGTTACTCTACAAATATACTAGTTCAGCATGAATGAGCACACAGATGGCAAGTCCCAAAGAGGAAAAAATTTCAGCCATAAAACCTTATTCTGTTTCTTGAGTGACAATTTAAAGCAATTGCTACATGTTCAGGCGAAGCTGCAATTCAGTTTTCTACAACAGATTTTATTCAGAAACACAGACCTTTTACATTTATAATAATGATACTTATATCACAGTGCTTTTCACCATGTGAACTCTTATTTTATAATAGAAAAATCTAAGGCACAAGAGATGTAAAAAGATTTGTCAGAGAGCACACAGGTCAGTGAGAGCTTCAAGGATAGAATTCAGGTCTTCAACCTGTGGCCCATTGTCCTACTTACCCCATCACACCACCTCCTCAAGTTAATAATAGCTAATACCATGGATTTACAGACTAATTCTCACAGACACTTCTGTAAAATAAGCAGGTATCAACCCCATTTTACAGAGAAGAAAACAAGAAGTGCTGAATTCTTCAGCACTCTATATACCTTGGCAATCCCACTGCTACTCTATTGACACCCAACATAAATTCAGACAGATACAGCGTTTTTAGCATATAACTCTGTTCTCAACTACAGAAACCGAGCGACCTGTCTGAAGACAGAAAGCAAGGCTGTAGCATAACAGGATGGAAATGGATAAACACTTAGTTCACACTTGCATGCTTAACCCATCTCTTTATCTGCATAACCTCAATTCCTCAAAATTACATGGGACATTGGATCAAAACATAGGATCAAGCAAAACAGCATTAGAAAATTTTCCATTTTTTTCATTCCCAGCTTTCTAACATGGTGCTTTATGAAAGCAACTCCAAAACCAATTTTTGACAATCTATTTCTTTGCATTGGCATATTTAATTCTCTTTTTGTCTTCAGATTACTGAAGAGCATAGCAGAGGAGATAACTCTGACATTTATTATTATGGGTTTTGAATATTGCTCTGAGTTAGTTACTATTTTAATTGTCTGAAAGATCTTCAAGGTTTTTAGCAAAGTGGAAACAGCATTGACTCACAAAAGAATTACATACAAAAATGTATGTAACATCATGAAGCAACTGAAGAACTGTATTTCTACCTGAAAAATTATAATCACACCTATATTTTTTCCATGCAAGTGGAGGAAAAAAAAAAAGAGGTAAAACCTGAGGAGAGATCTGTAAGGCATAAACCCTACTAACCTTGAGTAACTGAAATTGTGCATAGCTTACCATGCTGGTAAGATAGTTAGATTCCTAAGCAGTGTGGCTGTCTGACTCCACAGTGCTACAACAGTTCTTGCATCCCATAATGGTAACAGCTACATGACATCAGTCTTAGCATTGCAATGAACTAACATAAGCCTCCTAAACATGGACTTGTATGTCTGTAAAAATGAGAGGATTTGAGCATCATCTACTGAACATTTATATACATTTCAAATAAGCACACTACCCAAACAGCAAGTGATTTTCATGAACCACTAGCAAGAACAATTAAACAATTCAGCCGTTCACAGCTACCAAAACAGTAGCACAGATAAACCCAAGAATTTATGCATAATGCAGAGATAATTAGTAAGTAATCACCAAGTCCAGTAACTTGAACAACATGGCCAATACAGCCATACAACCTGTAGGTTCTGAGAACTGCACATTTTGTTGTACTTCTTCCTTCGAAACAGGGCTCGACTCCTGTCTAGTAAATGCTGACATAAGGGCTACCTTCCTATGCTTTATTTGTCTGTACCAACATGCAGAACCTGCTGCTGTCCAGTTTTCAAGCATAATCCTCACTCTGCCCCTAGCTACTGCTTCCCAAGTAGATTTCTGCTAGTGTGATTAAAACTAGTTCAGTTATTTTCCATAGGGTGCACAGAAGGCTGTACAGCAAGCTGCAGGTAATGCCCACTCCAGGAACAGCACACGTAAAACGACAACTTCCAGATGGAGTAAGCAAGTGTCACTGCCTATCTATCAAGCTCTTGTTCAGAGTTCTGGTCACTAAAGAGTATTTCTAACCCCAGTGATAAAGCTGCACAGCAATACCCACCTAAAAAGCATTCAAAGCGCAAATATACAGCAAGGACACGGTGAAATTTCCAACTAAAATTATGTTATTTGTGAGATTTTAAATTATTCAGGATAGCATAACTTCAAATTTAGCTTCTCTCAAGAACAAGCATTGCTTTAGGAGATGTTAAGGCATGATAAATTTTTTTTAATCTAAATTTGATTCTTTTTAAATGCTTATAAAAACGAATCGTTTGCAGCCTGAGCACAAATACATATCACAGGCATATAGTATAGAGGAAAAGCTATTTCAGCTCCTTTTTCATTTAATTACAACATTCTTCGTGAATGCTTCAAATGAATTCTAAAATACACAAACTACCTCGCTGCTTAATAAAAACAACCAGCCTCTCACTCTAGTCCAAAACTTGGAACACCATGCACTTTTAACAGATTTCTTCCCTTCCTTTGTTCTTGTTCTTCAATACAAGAGATTCCAGTCTTCCCAAACGTTCACATAATCACTGCAGAGAATTGCACAAAATCAATCACTGCACGCCCCCTAGAAACAACACAGTAACAGATCACACTGACATTCTGCAAGTTTCTGGGGACCTTGGGAAATTAAATTCATAACACTGCCGTAAACGCTTAGGCCCAGCTGTATTACAAGCGTGTTTGACAAATACTTTAAACTAAAAGCTTCATCAGTACAGATTACAGGATGAGTATTGTACTTTAAAACCAAATCTGAGACTTGCCGATGATCATTTAAACACCCTTTCGTGCACTCAGGTCTGGGCTTATACTGTTCTCCTTTGAAGCACTGCTCACGCCTGTGCAGTTCTGATGAATGTTTCACACAGACAGGGGAAGGGGGGAACAATTTGCACTTTTTTTTTTAATGAGTATGGAAAAACCTGGAAGCAATAACTCAGAATAAGATTAGCTCCTATTTATCCAGACTAGTTACTTTCCACCATCAATAATGCTGCTCCATTTAAACTTCAAAATACCCGAAGTAATTAAGTTATGTTGTACTTGCCAATTTAGAGAGGCACTTGGGAGTAATATGCATGTTAATCAGGAACATTAGCTGCCAGACTATATGAATTCTACTTCTCATTACTCAATCTTTATTATTGCTATTTAGAATTGGTTTTCAGTTTGGAGAAAAAACTCCTGCGCCTCCAAAACGAGATTCATCCCTGAGAACACTTATTCTGAGCCATAATACCCATTTGCTTTATGGAAGGATTCATCTCATCCCTAATCACCAGTTATTAAATAGCTCCTTGCTATCAGGGAACAAATAAAGACATAGGACATCATAATTTCAATTGCCTAGCAACAACTTTTCTAACATGATGTTCTGACAAGTGCTTGGAGCCTCTTCTGATATGAAAGAGTTACTGGAGGACAAGGACTGTCGGAGATGAGAATCAGCTCTTTTGTGATGGCTAGCTCTCCTTTACTTACCATCAGAAGCATTTCCATACAAGTAAAATCCTCATTTCTACTCATAGGAAAGTTAATTGATGCATACAACGTATTTTGGATCCTTACTCACTCTAGGCTCAGTCTGGCAAAGTGAAGAAAGGCAACATGCACAGTTTTAGTCATGCCAGACCTACCGCCATAGAGCAAACAGTTTGAAGTGGTTTGAAACTTGGTGTACAGACTTAGACTGTAACAACCTTTCCTCGTTGGAGATCAGCACATTTATTGATCCAAGCCTCTTTGATGCTATAGATTTTACTACTGAAAACATGCACAAAAGCAACGCATAGACCTTGTAATACACACAGGAGATTGTGCGGTGCATTCTCACCCCATACAGTGAAGGTTTGCAATAAATGCAGTGAAAGAGATACCAAGTTCTCTCTCTCACACCTCATTATTAAGATTTTTTAAAATCTATTGGCAACAAGCAACCACTCTGTTTTTTTTAAAGATTATCTGTTATTTTTCTCTTTAAAATACCTTTACTCAACTTTAAGGAGTTCTTTTAGAAGGCAGACACTTAGTTCAGAAGAAAAAAAGGTGAAATAATTCTGTTCCATCAAAAATGTACCCGAAGTTTAAATATATGAATACTATTTATCATGCAATGTAGTTCCAGGTTGCCTTTTAATTTTAAAGGTCAATAATCCAGCATTTTATCAGGAAGGTTGGCCTTTTAATTTAGGTAGTAAATTGTGGCAAAGTCCAGTAAACCTTGACTTCTCAAAATACATATGCAGTTTTATTATGCATTGCGTTAAAACAGGAAGTTTTATTTAGGCATTTGCCCTACCAGTTTCTTCTTTCTTCTAGGTGTATGCATACCAACACACGCTCACACACGTTTCTTCTTTCCACTGTAGAATCAGTACTGTTTACACAGCTTAATCGCAAACCAATTTTAAGAACACCTGTGGCACGAGAAAGCCTCATACTCTAGTATCCGACCACAATTCTATATTGCTCTCAACACCGCACATACACTTTATAAAAAGAAAGTTTTAAAATCACCTTTCAAAAGATGATTCAGGTCCATGGCATCGTGCAAGACTTTTCGACTATATCTGCGATCAAACTCGGAATCTAATGAGAAAAACACAGATGTAAGATTGGATTTCCCACCCTCATAACTTTTCCAAATTCTGTGTTGTACTTAAATTCTTCAAAATTACCATATAATTCTCGGTTCACATTTTCTTGTCTTTTTATTTTTAGTTTCTTATCATTTGATGCTGCAAGTTCAAAAGACTGGATAGGACTGATGTCTGGAGTTGACAGAGGTGTTACATCCGTCACTGTGTCTTCAGACTCCTCCAAGTAGTCACCGAGCTTTGGTTTTCCTCCTGCCAATTTCATTGCAGACTTGAATTTTTGTTTTGGAGACAGAAGAGTATTCCTACAAGCATTCCTCTTTGAGGAAGAATGAGATGAATCTGACAAACAGCTATCGGAATCTGTATCAGAACAATCTGTATCTGAGCTTGAGGATGAGGATGAGGAAGAAGAGGAGGAGGAAGAAGAGGAGGAGGAGCTGATATTTGTACACTTCTTGCTAGCCTTTTTTATGGTGTTTGGCTGCTTAGCTGACTTTGGTCTAACCTTCTGTTCTTTGCCATCATCACTACTATCTTCTTCATCTGTGTAATAATCTTCTTCACCTTCTTTAACTATTTTGGGGATTCCAGCAGGAACATTCTCCTGTGTTCCCCTACTTGCTGCAGATGTTGTTCCAGATGTACCTGCATTCTCTGCAACTGGGGAAAGTGACAAAGATGAAGCGTCTCCAAGATGATCGGTGCTATTTTCTAGGGACTGATCCTTCTTCAAATCTTCCTGCTTTTCTTCACTTTCTTCCTCACCACAATTTGCATCCTTTGTACTTGAAAGCAAATCAGGGTCTGTAAGATCTGCCTTTGTACCTTCTTTCTCTATACATTTACCATTTTCTTCAGCTTTCTTTTTCTCTTCCTCAAAATCACTGTCAAAGAAAGCATGATCCACTTCACTGTCTGATACATCTTCAAACCGGTCCATACTGAAATAGGAAGTGCTGCCTGCAACCATCAGAAAAGGTTTCCAAAGGTTAGCATAAAGACAGATCCAAGTACACTTTTAGTATAATAGTTTTGCTCTAGTAATTCATAATTCTGCAATTAATTATGCTATGTTGTTAGGGACAACTCCATAGTTGAGTTCTGTAAAGAAATTTAGTACCACCTTATTGTACACAGCTTATACGTTAGACCAAAAAGCTTTACTGTAAGCCTACAAAAACCATCACGATTTCAAAACTTTTACTCCTAAGGAAATTAGTCAAACATTGTTAGCAGTTAAAGAGCCTTAACTATGACAAAAAAACAATTGAAGTGTCTAACTGTCCCTTTAAGCTAGAGCTATTTTAAACTAGAGCCACTAATGAGCTATCATTAGTTTGGATTTTATATTAAAAACCATATTTGTATGTGGTGGTCACCATCTTGGCTGACACAGCCACGCAAACTGCAGACTTTCAGCACTTGAAGAACAGGCAACTTCAACGTACATCAAAAGACCTACAGCTCTACAGGTTAAATTGTAATCGATGTAGGGTGCGTCCATATTAACGCTGTAGTTTGGATCAGGAGCCTGCTTTTCTTGACAGCCCTCTGTAACTCACATTGCATCATACAGTGAGCAAACTTGATTCTTTCCCAGGAAACTAACCTTTAAAGCACGTTCGAGGCCCAAAAACAGTGCGCTTGAACCAGCGCGCTTACACCAGCCGTCACTGCTCAGTCCATGGCCCCAGATTACAGCTAGCCCAAAGGAAAAAAAACCCAATACATGTGGTGAGGCTATCAGGTCCTCAGTGCTAACCATTGTGCTCTACAAATCTGCTCCTGTTGTGTCACACTTGCAGAAATATATGGTGTTAGATCCTATGCATGTAGCAGGGGGGTATGAAAGTTTCCACTCAGTAGGACGGACAGAGTTAAAATAAAACAAACCCACAGCCAAATAGAATTGACCTGTATCAGACACTACTGTTCCCATCTAGCCACCATTAATTTTCTCCTTCTATTTACATCAGATTTTATATAAATTTCTAAGCTGCCATCAATAAATACATAACATTCTTTACAACGAAGGAAACCGAAGCCAAAGACAGCGGAAGTAACTATACAAGGCAGGTGAACGAGAATATTTTACAAGATGAATGGTCTCCCTTAAACCACAGTTTGTTGCCATGGCAAACAAACGTGAAAAAGAAATTCCTAAACTTCCTTTGAAACTGCAAGGCTATTCCCAAGAAAGCTTCTAGCTAAAATTACTTCAAAATACAGAATTTTTAAAAGGTCTACATCACTCTTATCTTGCCACTTCTCAAATACTCAGTTTTATGTGAATTTGAAGTATGCACCCCAAAACCAAAAAGCACAGTATAAACCTTAAAAGCAGCAGCTGTGGAATCTCTTGTGGTTTTAAGATTCACAAAGCCAAAGAACTGAAAACAGACTTAACAGTGTTAGATATTGTATGAAGCTGAAAAAGCTATTTAACAATAGGAGCCAACTTCGTTACCATGAAGAGAAAACTCTTTAAAGCATTTAGCTCCTCCAAAAACAGGACAAAGGAGTAAAACACCTGGAAACTCTTAATTAGCAATGCTACATGGAATTGGAAAATTTTTTTATATTCATGTCATTTCTTGTGATCCCTGGCTTCAGGCAGCTTGCCTAGTCTGCCATGCCCAACTGCTATCTGAATTCCTTCAAGGTTTCCTAGAGCAGCTTTCAAAAGGATAATGCATTTTAATACAGCAAAACACGCACAATTGGAAAACTCAGAAGAGTGTAACACATGATTTACATTTAATTTTCTACCTCACGTAACCTAAACCAGAAGGGAACCAAGCAGAGTGTTTTGGCATTACCTGTAGACTACAGGTCATGAATTATTTATTTAGCAAGTACAACTCGGGCAAAGTCAGTTCCATGTAGAAAATGAATATAGGAAGTACAGTGTTAGAATTAAAACAAAAACCTTTCCTCTCCATGATGCAAGGCACTGGCATCTCACCAGTGTGTAGCTTCAGATAGGTTATTACTGACTGGTAAAAGTGTGCACATGGTGTATTTCATTTGTCTCAAACACAGATTTGATATATCCACAACAGTGCTAACAGTGTAAGAGCCTCAGAGGATAAGGCAAAAGCCAGCATTCCAAGTGGATACAAACCAACTAGTACAGCTTGAGAAATAAAATTCTGTTGAGTGCAATACACACCCCCATGTATACACGTGCTCATGTCACGACTTCTCAAATGCCTCTCTTCTTAACACCACCTCTTAAGTGAGGGTGGGATTTAACTCAAGCCAGCAGCAAAAGGGCAGAGTAGAGGCAGCAAAAGATGATGAAAGATAGCAAGGAGCCTGTACGCTCCTTTCCACCATCAGCACCAGCCAAGGAGCACGCATCTTCCCCCGCTGCGTGACTTAGGCATAGCTTACCTGCCAGGGGCTGTCTTCCACAGGCTGAGCTGTACCCGACTGATGGACAGCGACCGCTGCTACCAGGAGAAATGCAGTTCAGCGCCTGACTGCCCAAGAAGCAGCAGTCCTAACACCAATCATTTCATTGCCAAATGTTCCTTCCACTTCTCTGGCACAACCCCATAACGACTTTACCCTTCATCTTAATAGAAAACAGACATGCTGTGTTGGGCAATTGCTCTCACTGACAATCATTCACAAACTAAACACTAATTAATTCTGTAGTTTCCATTAAAAACAAACAAGAGGAAATAGATAGAGATGGTATTTTTGGTTCCTATTACTCTCATGCATCTAGCCTGTCTTCAAGGGAGCTAGAATTTGCCAAGAAGCAGCAGTACCAAAGACACAGTTTTCCTGATAAACCATGCCTAAATTAATAAATTGGCTGTGCATGCACACCCACCCACCCCCCTTTATATACAGGGCAGAGGGTAGTTTTATTTCTGTGAAAAGTATAGATTTCTGCTACATTATCAATTGTTAAAATACAGAGTCAACAACTAACATTCTAAAATCCAAAGAAAACTGCCATTAGAGTCAAATACTTATTAACTGCTAATTCTAATGACCACCGTATTTATTAACAAAAAAATACATGCCTTCTGTGGCTTTCTGCCATGAAACCCTCGAACACAAATATGATCACTCAAATGAGCAGGTTGGCCATTAATTATTTGATAGATTATTTTTTTACTGTAATATTTCCTTCTCCCCACGTAATTCTCCACCTCTCTCCACGTATTTCTTGTAACTTCACCCACCCACTACCTCAGCCAAGCACAGCCATTCAACTTCGCCTCTTCCTCACTGCAGTTCCTCCTAGTTTATCCCACTTTTTAATCCCTTCACCTGAAAACACCCCGCCGGACCTATTTAAGATCAGAAAGCAGCGGCCAAGCAGCCTAGGGGAAGATGCAGTCTGGTTGTCAGGGCAGTAGGGACCCATACTCTCTTTGTCAAGAGCAAGAACAATTTAATAATTGAATATAAATGAATATGATAGTGATACTAATAATATTAACAATACTACTACTAATAGGTAATTAATAGAATAGAAAATAAATGATACAATTGCTCACCGACCAATGCACAGCCAGGTTCTGAGTAGTTAGAGTCAGAGAGCCCCAGAGCAACAGCAGCAGAGTCCGAGTGAGCCCCATCAGCGAGAAGACAACCAAGAAAGCCAACTGACTCACTAACGAGCGAACACCAAGCTAGCAAACAAGCAAGTGAGCTGTGTCCCCCATCCAATATACTGAGCATGACGTGCTATGGAATGAAAGACTCCTTCAGTCAGTTTGGGTCAGCTGTCTGAGCTGCATGTATCCCCCACTGCTTGTAACGAGAAAGCTGGGAACACAGCTGCAGTATCAGAAGCTGAAAGTCCTTGAATTAGTGCAAGCATGCCCCAGCACCAATTAAACATCCCATATCAGTCCTATTCTCAGGGAAAATTCAAAACACAGCCTCATACCAGCCACCGTGAAGAGAATTAACTCTGCCCTGACTAAAACTAGCACAAGTATTTTAATTAAAGATTTATACTATCAATGGCAGATGTTCTTTAGGCACTCCAAAATCCTCTGACTCCATTTACTCATTATTATCCCTCTGTCAGGGACCCCACACCCCGGCTGACTGCCAAATCACCTCTTTGTATGGTGAACTTGGGAGAGGGTGAAAATATCATCTGACTAACATTTTCAAAAGTAACCATCATTAAACCAGTTACTATGTAAAACCACACTAGATCAAACCACACCACCTCCTTCTCCCTCCCTCATTCTTGGTTGAAGCTTAAAGTCAAATTTGAAAATGCCTAACAATCAAAATTTTAAGGCAACTAGAAGAGTTCAACTTCTGGGGGTTTGTTTAATTTAAGAGAAGGGGAACGTAAGCCTTAAAACCTGTACAACAGACTCACCCAAAACTCAAGTTTGTTCTCAGATAAGATCAACAGTGGTAAGGATCACCTAGTGCCGCTGCTTCCAGCCATGTGACAAACCAGCATACCCAGCCCTACCTACCTCCTCTTTAATTAAAGCTTTCATTTTTGCTACTAAGAAACAACAAAGCAGGCAAAGGAGGAAATACACCTCTAGGGAAACTACTTCCCTTGAGGGAAACCCCAATGAATGAAACAACCAGTCTATATAGTCGATACTCTTCATTTTCTAAGCTCAGAGCACAGTACCTGCTACAGCTGTTCTGCACACAGTATGCTCTCCAAACTGGGCTACCAGTTTCCCCAACCCAAGCCATGATTGGTTCATAACCCACCTACAAAACACAAGGCCTCAACCCCAGCCCAGCATAAACTCCAACACTAAAATCTATCCAAGTTCTGCTCTGCCACACAGCTACAAATTTTGCACTGGACGTGTTCCTACGCCCCGAGATGGAAGGGGTGGTTGAGGTACAGTCAAGTTACTCTGCAGAACACCACAATGTACACAGAAGATGGAATTAGAATCATAGAAAAATTTAGGTTGAAAGGGA